CACATATGACTGCACACATGGTGCAACGCTACATCATGTACAACCAGAGAAATGAAAAGTTGTGCTGCAGTTGTGTGCGATGAATCAAAATGCATTCTGCTGTCATATATACCTAATTAAAATTAATTAACTAATTAATTTTGTAAAAAGTAGAGGTTAAAAGTCAAAAAGCAACATGCAAATATCAGCATTTTCAGAGAGGGTTCTTGGACATAAGTTTGGAGAATGGGCAAGAAGGGATGAGGCTATATTAGTAGTTCTTGAACCACGTCGAAGGCTTTAAAATGAAGACTGATGCTTTCTATTCCTAGATTTTCTAATGAGCAGGTTTGTGATAGGGCCCCAAAACTTGATTTTTAATAAATCTCTAGGTGGTGGGGATGCCTTTTGGTCTAAAGAACATAGTTTGAGGAACATTAAACTAGATTTTGAGAGAATAGTCAGAAATCTTTTGCATTAATCAGTACAGGATATGATAAAGAATGTMATAAATAGGCTATGATAAACAATAGAGCAGGAATGACTTTCAAAGGTACAGAAGAGTTATAAATGACTAAACTTGATACCAGACAGAAGTATGATTTTGAAGGGGAGGTATTGTCACAGGAGGAGAAATATCTCCTAAGAAGGCTCAGAGGAGTTTCTTGAGAGAAGGGAGAACTTGATTCTGGACTAGCAGAGTTCTTGATATATGTGACAAAATCACATATACCAAGAATCAGAATCTTTATAAGTCAAAGGCATAGTTACACTTTTATTTAGGAAAATAAATATATATTCAAGGTGTAATGGGGGCAATTTCAGGAACAATGCCTTTGTGGGTAAAGCAAGGAGCACATACATTCAAGGGAGAATGTGGACTATCACCAGAGGGAGAAATACCAACCTGTTTGTTTGGGGTGTTAGTATTTATGAGGGACAGTTGCTAGGGGCTAGACTAGAGGTAGAGCCAGAGCTGAGTTATATAATTCTGCATCAGTTTTCYGTGTGTTTGTGCATTGCCCTCATGTTACTTCTTTTTTTTTTTTGAGGATATTTTTAAAATTTTAATTTGTTATATATGACAACAGAATGCATTACAATTCATATTATACATAAGAGCACAATTTTTCATATATCTGGTTGTATACAAAATAGAGCCACATCCTTCATGTCTTCATACATGTACTTAAGGTAATGATGATCATCGCATTCTACCATCTTTCCTATCCCTATTCCTCTTTCCCTCCCTCTCCTTTTCCCCTTTGCCCTTTTTAGAGTTCATTTAATTCTCCCACCCCCACATCACCCCCCCGCCCCCGCCACAGCATATTATGAATCCGCATCCTTAAATCAGGGAAATCATTTGGGATTTTGTTTTTTGGGATTGGCTGATTTCACTTAGCATTCTATTCTCCAACTCCATCCACATATAATTAACAGTTATCTTATATTTTACAAAGGCACCAAAAAAACGTACTTTGGATAAAACATAGCTTCTTTAACAAATGGTCTGGGAAAATAGGAAATCCACATGCAACAAAATGAAATTAAACCCCTATCTCTAACCATGCACAAAACTCAACTCAAAGTGGATCAAGGACCTAGGAATTAAACCAGAGACACTGAATCTATTAGAAGAAAAAGTAGGCCCAAATCTCTGTCATGTCGGATTAGGCCCCAACTTCCTTAATAAGACTCCTATAGCACAAGTATTAATATTAAGAATCAATAAATGGGATGAATTCAAACTAAAAAGCTTCTTCTCAGCAAAAGAAACAATCAGTGAGGTGAATAGAGAGCCTACTGACTGAGAACAAATTCTTACCACACTCACATCAGATAGAGCACTAATCTCTAGAATATATAAAGAACTCAAAAATCTTAACACCAAAAAACAAATAACCCAATCAATAAATGGGCCAAGGAACTGAACAGACACTTCTCAAAGAAGATATATATGTTTAACATCTCTAGCAGTTAGAGAAATGCAAATCAAAACTAAGATTTCATCTCACTCTAGTCAGAATGGCAGCTATTAAGAATGCAAACAACAATAATTGTTGGTGGGGATGTGGGGAAAAAGGTACACTCATACATTGCTGCAGCCGATATTCAAAGCAGTATTGAGATTTCTTGGAATTTGGGAATGGAACCGCCATTGGACCCAGCTCTCCCTCTCCTCGGTCTATACACAGAGGACTTAAAAACAGCATTCTACAGGGACACAGACACACCAATGTTTATAGCAGCATAATTCACAATAGCTAAACTGTGGAACCAACCCAGATGCCCTTCAATAGATGAATGGATTAAAAAAGTCACATATATACACAATGGGATATTACTCAGCAATAAAAGAGAATAAAATCATGGCATTTGCAGGTAAAGGATGGCGTTAGAGAAGATAATGCTAAGTGAAGTTAGCCAATCCCAAAAAACCAAATGCCAAATGTTTTATTTGATATAAGGAGGCTGATTCATAGTGGGATAGGGAGCAGGAGCATGGGAGGAATAGACGAACTCTAGATTGTGCAGAGGGAGAGGGCATGGGGTTATTAATGATGGTGGAATGTGATGGTCATTATTATACAAAGTATATGTATGAAGATACAAATAGATGTGAATATATTACTTATACAACCAGAGATGAAAAATTGTGCTCTGTATCTGTAATAAGAATTGTAATGCATTCCACTGTCATATATAAATAAAACAAAAGAAAAACAGCATACAACAGGGACGCAGCCACATCAATGTTTATAACAGCACAATTCACAATAGCTAAACTGTGGAACCAACCTAGTTGCCCTTCAGTAGATGAGTGGATAAAGAAAATGTATGTGTGTGTGTGTGTGTGTGTGTGTCACACATACATATCAATCACACACAACAGAATATTATTCAGCGTTAAAATAGAATAAAATCATGTTACTTCTTTAGACAAGGTTATGGGTGTGAGCTAAGGGTACATCACTCAGGAGGTACAACTGTTCATGGGTGCTTTTTGCATTTCAGTTCATGGGTATTTTCTGCATTTGAATGGTTCATGGGTACCTTTTTTCTTTTTCTTTCTTTCTTTCTTCCTTCCTTCCTTCCTTCCTTCCTTCCTTCCTTCCTTTCTTTTTTTCTTTCTTTCTTTCGAGACTCATTATCTCTCTCTCTTTATTCCTGAATTCCTTTCCCAGTACAACTGTACACAGATTTCTGGTTTCCAACTTGGGCAGGTGGTGAAAGAAGGAGAAGCTGGCTGGAGGTTTTGGGGTGGACTGATAAGACTTTGATCTTAGGCATGTCAAATGGACATTTATGTGGGTGATTTAAATGGAGATATCAACTGGAAAACTTCTGAGTTAAAGATATGGGCATGTATGTCCATACAAGAGAAATTATCATAAAGGGAATGTGGTACAGAACTCTGGGATATGCCAATATGAGACAAAATCAGGATAATTCACCTTCAAAAGGATTGAGAACTGACAGGAACCCTGGAGTAGGGAATCTCTATGAGGGTGCAATCAACATGCCAACACCAGGGGGGAAGTCAAATGACACCTGGACTCAAACATGTTCATTGCAAATAGGGGCCAGAAGATGACAGGAAACTTAATAGAAGCTGCTTTGTCAAGCAGCACAGATGGGACCCAGTCTATACTTACCTGAAGTAAGATTCACTTTTTTAGAAAAGAACATATGCTATCTTCTTTTTTGATATTAAATTTCTGTTTTTCAGCCAGCTCTGAAGAAGATATGCTATTTGATAGAAATGCTTAGCTGAACTAGTTGATGCATATTCAATTTTTAGCCTTATTTTTTGGGTGAAATTTAATGTTTGAAGATCAAATACAGAATCAAAATTTATATATTGTATTCTTTTTTTTTCCCTTGAGAAAGGAGTACCTTTGTGAGATATTGTAGCTTTACCATGGGAGGTTTTTAGAAATGACAGGAGGTTTTGTGGTTAGTCTTTCTGGAAGTTTTATTTTATTCTCCACCACCATCCCTGTTGGAGGACCAGGAATGCAATTATTATGAGAAGATTGTTTTACCCTGTGACTTTGTGTGACAGCTGGGTATGATTATTTTATTAGTTTCTTGATTGATCCAACTGAAACCAAAAAGAAAGAAAAGGTCAACAAAGGCAATAGCTGTTAGGGCAGCTGTCAGTTCTGGTAATTTGACCATAACCACTTTTCTTTCCTTTTCAAAACTCTAATGTTTTTCTAAGCAGATTTAAAACAAAACACAGAGAGTAAATAGAAATTGCTTCCACTCAAGGATCAGGATCTGGGATAAGAGTTTCATAAGCAGGATTTATCGGTGGTGTGTTATTTTCTAGAGAACATGGTTTAAACGTGTCTGTTCTATAGCAGCCTACCCACCTCTGTTTTCAGAAACCTTCCTAGCGAGGTGTGTGTACTGTCTTCTAAGTCCCCCTGGACAGCTGACTTAAGATTGAGCTGATGTAGTCCCTTCAGTCTGATGCTTCTACTACTCTATTAATTAGTTAGAAAGTTATCCATAAAATGTGGGTCAAATGCAGAATAAGAGGAACTGCCAGTAAAATAGTGAGCCTTCTAAATGACCCATATAAAAGCACATTTTCTGTTTCTGGTACAACTGATCTGATCTAACAGATTCTCTGTGCATGTGCCTTTACCTTGCCCTTTGCTTATTGACCAGTTTTTCACAGAATCATAGTAAAAAAGGAATACTTTAAAAATATCAGACTACAAATGATCAAATGTACAATTGTTATTTCATAGAGATCAAACTAATTTCCTAAACTATAAGAAAATTTACTTGATGACAGGTCAGGCTCTTATAAGACTGGTAAAGAACATGACTTTTAAGATTTATTATATAAAGCTCCAAAGCTCTCTTCAAACAAAAATCAGTTTTAAATACTTTAAGGAATGACATAAGGTGTTTTCTCTTAATTTGTTTTTCATGTAGGATTTTAAAAAGTAAGTACATTGGAGTTCAAATTAATGTTCCCTTTCCTTTTTTTTCTTGAGCAGGTTGTCAAGTTATTAAGTAACAAAAGATCACAAGCAGTTGGAATCTTAATGTCTAGTCTTCATCTAGATATGAAAGACATACAACATGGTAAGTGCAAAAAATAAAAATCCAAGTATTGAATATTAAAATTTGGATATGATGGATTGGTTGGGAGGTATGATGTTTCTTGGGAAGTCTACGATCAAGATGCCATCATGGTTAGGTTCTATGAGGACACTCTTCTGGGTGCAGATTGCCATTTTCTCCTTATATTCTCATGTGGCAGAAAGAGTCTGAGAGAATTCTTATAGGTCTCTTTTATAAGGTCATGAATCCCATTCATGAGGACTGTTCTCAAAATCTAATCACCTCCCCAAATCCTTACCTCATAATAACATCACATTAGAGGTTAGGATGTCAACATATAAATTATGGTAGACACAATATTTAGTCCATTGCAGATATATTCAGTCTGTTATTAATAAATATTTTTATATCATAAGAAGTACAGTTGCACTGTGTTCTGTAAGTAATTAGACCATATCTGAAGTGTTTATTTCTGGATGCCATGCTCAAAGAATTATTGATATATACAAGTGTGAGCCAGATAGTAGGGTCTCTACAGCCATTAAAAATACCTAGGGAAGTTAATCCACAGGACAAAAAAGTTGGTTGAATATTAGTTATGAGTTTTTGACAAGCTAAAATAAAGAAGAAGTAAATCTAAAAGTGTCTACCAGAACAGCTTCAATCAATGTAAGACTCACAGGGAATCTAGTTTTAAGTGTTGTTTTGAGAATGTTCTTATGGTTCAATTATGATATGTCTAATATTAACCTAGATGTTCATGCTATATAAATCATCATTTGTCTCAAATGAGGGAACATGAGCTATGTTCCCTTAGACCTTCAGTTTGAAGATACTATAAGATGCTGAAACACTAAAGCAATTTTCTTATGTATAAGTTTTTAGAGTGGAAAACTGGTCCTCCTTCTTCCACTTATTTGGGACAACTATAGCATAAATTTTTCTACTTTAGAAGAATTGAATTATTTTATCTAAGGCATATGCATATACACGTATGTAGACAGACACATACATATATACATATGTATATACACATATAAATCTACATATGTGTGTGTTTGTGTGTGTGTGTGTGTGTGTATCTAAATTTTTTTGGTAATACTAGAGATTGAAATCAAGTCCTCACATATGCTAGGCAAATGCTCTACCACTGAGCTMTACCCCAGAACTTTTTTTATTTTTTTTTTCTATTTTGAGACGGTCCCATTAAGTTGCTCAGACTGGCCTCAAACTTGCAATCTTCCTGCCTCAGCCTCCTGAGCTTCTGTGATTACAGAAATGTGTTATCATGTCTGGCTTAATTTATATTTTTAACAGGCTTATAACATATTTTCTATATTTGGAATAAGGGTGATTTCTAACATTTTCTAAATGGCTTTAATGGCTTTAGGATCTTCCCCCAACCCCACCACCACTTCTTTCTTTTGCAGCTCTAGGGATTGAACCCAGTGATGCTCTACCACTGAGCCACATTTTATTTTTATTGTGAGACATGGTCTTGCTAAGTTGCCCAGGCTGGCTTCTGACTTGAAATCCTCCTGTCTCAGTATCCCAAGTAGCTGAGATTATAGACATACACCAGTGTAACTGGCTTTTAGTGTTAATATTTTAAAACTTGAATTCTACCCTACAGTTGACAGAAATTCCTATCACATTTATGCTGAGAGATATTGCCCAAAGGTGTAGAGAGGAATTAAATCCATGTTCTGGATGTCCCCTAAGCTGCCCCAGAGCCTTAGAATAGATTAAGCAGATTGAATTATCCAATGGAATGCCACTTTACCTATTAAAGAAATATGGTTTTAAGTATAACACAGACCTTATAAATCATGAAAACATTTAACTAGCTTTCTGGCTTACCCACCATGAATGTGGATTCTATTTGTTAGGCCTAAAATATTGTGTGGAATAATTCATAAATAGCGCAAGTGTGGTATGCCCTGTCAATTGATGAGTAACTCTTAATCACAATTAAGTTTTTATTAAATTGTTTTGATGGTGAGGAGACTTCCTCAAGCTGAACCATTTGGGGTAATAGTCATAGAGAAGAATGCCAAGGCTGGCGCCAAGAAGTACTTGGTGTTTCTAAAGCTGGCAGATGTAGCCCTGTTAAGTCATAGAATGAAATCTGAAAATAATGATATGGTCCTTTCCTTCAGTCAAATATTCAGCTTGGGTTGAGTTAATAATGAGAACCTTATGAACAAAGGAGTCCGCCTGACATCTGTGTCTGTGGTACAGCCAGCGAGAGTTCATTGAAAATTTGCTGGCTTAACATGCAACACTAACAATAACATGGCATGAACGTCAGTAGTTGAAGGGTCACACAGAATTATGCATAAACTTTATCCTATTAGGATGTAAAGCCATTGCTTGAATCCCACTGAAACACTGCAACCCCATTTTCTAAAACACAGGCACCTTCAAAGTCTGAAGAAACAAGTAGCCAGTGCCTGTTTGTGGATCAAATCCTCTTCTGCCTCAGTGTACTGTCTGGAGCCATGATTTCCATGTGGGAATCACTTGTAGCCTCTAGAATAAACTTTGCTTCTCTCGAGATATGCCTCCACTGAGGATTCCACAGAAGCATAAACATCATTGATTTGGGATGTAGAAGCAGTCAAGGAATTTATCCAGTCTTCCAGTGTTATTTTATAGAAGAGCAAACTAAGATCTGCTAGTGGTCCAGTTGCTTTCTCAAGCTCATGTGGCTCTCTAATGGAATAGACTGAACTTACACCAGACATTCCACATCAGCTGTGGCTGTTCTTTCCCATTCATTAGATTTTTGGGCTGATTCTTTAATTTTGTGCTTTTCCTATAATCAGCATTAGTATATCTACATTCTACATAATATTGTTCGAATAAATTTTTCTAAACCCTCAGAGTGGATTTTTTCCCAGAGGTAGCCTTTTCCCTGCCCATTAAAAAATTGTCATAACCCACAAGTCAGTCTAGAAATTGCCAGATAAATTCACTGCTACATTCCAGCAGCTCAGAGTTTCACTGTAACTTTCACACACACACACAATTAGTTATTTGTGGCTGCCCTGCTATATTTATTGGTGCTATTTTATCCCCTTCTCTCCTTCCCTGTCAAAACTCTAGAGAAACCTAAAGTTGAATATCCTTTGTAATGTTTCTATTTTAAAGTGTTCTGTTAGAGTCAGGAGTATCTAATTTTGGATTCTAGGTGTCAAAGGTCTAATCCAAGTGTTACTACCTTCATGCACCACATGATGCTCAAGTGAATGCAGGTTATTCTCACAACAGTAGTTCCACAATTCTCAATGTCACGAAAGGTCAAAAGACAGAAAAAGAAGAGATTAGACTCTTTTTTAAAAAAATTGTTCTAATTAGTTATGCATGACAGCAGAATTCATTTTGATTCATTGTACACAAATGGAGCACAACTTTTCATTTCTCTGGTTGTACATGATGTATAGTCACATCATTCATGCAGTCATATATGTACTTAGGATAATGATGTCCATCTCACTCCATCATCTTTCCCACCCCCAGATCCGTCCCATACCCTTTCTCCCCTCCCAGGGATTGGAATCTTAACCATGTCTATCAGTGCAGTAAATATAAGCAAGAAAGATGTGTGTGTGTGTGTGTGTGTGTGTGTGTGTGTGTGTGTATTTAAAAATCAAGTTGCTGGAATGAATGTACTTCTACTTCTAAAGTGACCTGTAGATTTTAATAATTTGTTAGGGTGGGTGAAACTGTAGCATGCTACCTATGAAAAATTTCACTCTAATTGTATACAGTAACTTAAAATCTGAGATGAAGGTACATTCCACAAGAGATTTCCCTTTTTTGTGTGGTAGGACCTGGGGGGGGTCCTTTAGGTTTAAGATTACTTTAAATCAAGTTTGAGGGTCATTCCAGACACTAAATGCATATCCCTGCATGGGTTGGTTTCTCTGAGTCTGCAGGCTTTGATTACCAGTTTATTGTGGACAAGGTATAGAATCTATACCTTGGGTGGATTTGGAGCTTTGATTTTCGGTCCCTGGTTCCATGAGGTGGTCAACGTAAAGTTCAGATATTTTGGGATAGGTTAAAAGTCTCAATGTCACTTCTTTGCCTTTATGATACTGTACAAATATTTACGTGTGTGTGTGTGTGTGTGTGTGTGTGTGTGTATAACAAATATTTGATCTAGCATTTTAAATTGTTCAATGTGAGAGGATTGATTCAAATAATATAGCCTGCTATTTCCATAAATTGGTTTTGAATCTATCCTACAGCTCTGTAATGGTAGTTTAGTTTTGTGAAAATAGATTGAATTTTTTTATACAATACTCAGTCCATATTCCACCATCAATGAGATATTCATACCTCTTAGGTTCATTTTAGTAGATAAGAGCAGCTGCAGAAGAATTTCAAATTTCATGAGGCTTAGCTTTATCTCCCCAATCCAATGTCACTATTAAGTAGAGATTTCATATAGTTTGTCATTCAAAATGGGATATTTTGATAGAGGAAAAGGTGCCTTTAATAACATTTCCTGGATAACAAGTGTAATGGAATTTTGCAGGTACATCAGTATTACTGTCACTCTGCTGCTAGATCAAACTGAAGCAAGATTCAGATCTAATCTTTCCTATAATACCAATATTTATTAAACATATTTTTTGGCCAGTAGGAACAAAATTGTCTGAAAAGCCTATTTTGTAAACTTGAAGTTGCCTAGCTCTCTGTTTTGTAAATACTCTCATCAAGATTTTATATAAAAGATTTATTTGTTCTAGACAGATGCTAAAACATCATGGAGGTAGGAATTGGTTACTCTTATAATTTGCACCAGGCATCTAAAAATCCAATGCCTGGATCCAATTCCAATGTCTTAAGATTCCAATGCTTCATAAAGAGCCATACAGTAGTGACAAATAACTGTAATCCCAGCAACTCTGGAGGCTAAGGCAAGACGATCACCAGCCTTAGCAACTCAGCAAGGCCTTAAGCAACTTGGCGAGATCCTGCCTCAAAATAAACAAAAGGGGTTAGAGGAT